CCCCGTCGCCCGGCCCCGGAGAGGGGCCAGTTCCTGGGAGGAGCACCGTTCTCCGGACAGGACCCCGCTCAGCCCGCGGCCAAGACATCTGAGTGCTGCCCGGGGAGACTTTCATTACGGACGGGGGGACGGGCGGAAGGGCAGGCCGAAAGCAGCGCCTCAGGCCTCCTGTCCCGACTCCTGTGCGTTTCACTTTTGTTCTGTTTGTTTTAAATATATTTTTATTGGTTTCAGAGAGGAAGGGAGAGGGAGAGAGATAGAAGCATCAATGACGAGAGAGAATCATGGATCGGCTGCCTCCTGCACGCCCCCCACTGGGGATTGAGTTCGCAACCCGGGCCTGTGCCCTGACCGGGAATCGAACCGTGCCCTCCTGGTTCATAGGTCGACCCTCAACCCCTGAGCCACGCCGGCCGGCAACATGGGGCGCTTTTATTAACTACAACCTCTGAACAGAATGGAGCGGCGAGCGCCGTTCATGGAACCGATTCGCTAGCTCACCTTTCCCGCAAAGCCCGGCTCCCTCACGTGAAGAGAGAAACAGAAACACCTCCACCCAGTTCTCAAACACGTCGCGCCTGGTGCCTCCTCTGCCGAGGGGGACAGCGGGAGAGACCCACGCACATGGGGGAGGCCCGGCCGCTCCCACTGCAGCCAACGGGCAGACGTGGGCATCCCGGGCTGGGACTGGCAATGCACTCCTGTGCCCTTTCTTGAGGGCGCCTCTGAGTCCCCCCAAGAGCACGCGGGCCTCTGCCAGCCGCGGGGAGCCAGCCTCAATGGGGCTCCAGCCCTGGGTCACCTCAGTGTCTGTCCGAGCACCCAGGGTGCTGTCTTTAAAACCGGACTAAGTGGGCAAACAGGCAGACAGCCTGCGGTGAGTTTAACCGGGAGCCCGCGGAGCACACACACTCTTGGCGTTCGGCCCGGAGTCACTTTCCAGCAGGTGCAGAGGCTGCAGGTGCGGGAGATGCAGAGGCTGCAGGAGCAGGAGGTGCAGAGGCTGCGGGTGTGGGAGGTGCAGAGGCTGCAGGGGTGGGAGGTGCAGAGGCTGCAGGAGTGGGAGGTGCAGAGGCTGCAGGGGTGGGAGGTGCAGAGGCTGCAGGAGTGGGAGGTGCAGAGGCTGCAGGGGTGGGAGGTGCAGAGGCTGCAGGAGTGGGAGGTGCAGAGGCTGCAGGGGTGGGAGGTGCAGAGGCTGCAGGAGTGGGAGGTGCAGAGGCTGCAGGGGTGGGAGGTGCAGAGGCTGCAGGAGTGGGAGGTGCAGAGGCTGCAGGGGTGGGAGGTGCAGAGGCTGCAGGAGTGGGAGGTGCAGAGGCTGCAGGGGTGGGAGGTGCAGAGGCTGCAGGAGTGGGAGGTGCAGAGGCTGCAGGGGTGGGAGGTGCAGAGGCTGCAGGAGTGGGAGGTGCAGAGGCTGCAGGGGTGGGAGGTGCAGAGGCTGCAGGAGTGGGAGGTGCAGAGGCTGCAGGGGTGGGAGGTGCAGAGGCTGCAGGAGCGGGAGATGCAGAGGCTGCAGGTGTGGGAGGTGCAGAGGCTGCAGGAGTGGGAGGTGCAGAGGCTGCAGGGGTGGGAGGTGCAGAGGCTGCAGGAGCGGGAGATGCAGAGGCTGCAGGTGTGGGAGGTGCAGAGGCTGCAGGAGTGGGAGGTGCAGAGGCTGCAGGGGTGGGAGGTGCAGAGGCTGCAGGAGCGGGAGATGCAGAGGCTGCAGGTGTGGGAGGTGCAGAGGCTGCAGGAGCGGGAGGTGCAGATGCTGCAGGTGTGGGAGATGCAGAGGCTGCAGGTGTGGGAGGTGCAGAGGCTGCAGGTGCGGGAGGTGTAGAGCTGCAGGAACTGGAGGCCTGGGCGGGGCTTCCCAGCCCTGTTCCCACGGACTCCATGGGTGTGCACACAGCCTCCGTCCAGACTCTTTGGCAACGTCATAGGCTCATCCGCTTAAAAGGAAGAGGAGAAAACGACACCCCCTTTGGGGAGAGGTGTCCAGTGCCGGGTAAGCAAGCAAAGGGGACAACTCTTCGGTGCCAGCCTGCACCCCAGCACGACGACTCGCCCACTCAGGTCTGTGGAAGGGGGTGTGTGTGGAAGGGGGTGTGTAAGGGGGGGTGGAAGGCGTGCACTGCCCAGTGACGCTGTCGGTCCCCTCGCAGGTGGGATGGACATTCACTGCCAGTGTCTTTGCAGCCTTTTCTCTCTTTCCCGCCTCCCCCCCCCCCCCCCCCCCCCCCCGGGGGGGGCCGGGGGCCCCCGCCTTGGCCGCC